TTTTTTTTTTTTTTGTCCCCTGTCTCCTTTTTGATGGAAGTGTCAAGAAATAGTCATCTAAGTGAAATTATAAGAAATGGGTCTGAATCCCAGCTCTGCTATTTTCTTTTCTTTTTTGGCTGTGTAATCTTAGACAAATTGCTGAACTTCTCTGGGCCTTGGTTTTCTTTAATTTGTAAAATAGGGTACTCTACCTTTTTCACTGTGTTATTGTGAGAACACAGACAATATTTGGGGAAAATGCAATCTCCAGACTTAATTAGAACAAAAGAAAGAGGCCTACTCCTAACTCAGTCACTCTAACCTCGTGGGCCCTAGTTTCTTCACCTGTAAAATGGGTAGAGTCCCAAATCTGGTATGGTTGCAAGAAGCAGCTAAAAATAAATCAGCAAAGAATATCATGTGTGTTCAACTATGTATACAGTCAACATTGCACTTTAAAGAAATCCAAGAGCTAACAATTGTCTCTTGTTACCAAATAGACCATTGGCACAACAAAACCCTGGTGGCGACCGTCAGCTGGCTGTGAAGTCCACAGACTTTGAGGGGCTCTACCAGGAATGATCAGCTGAGCAGAACCAGAACTTTTTCATGAGCATGTGTGGGTCATACTCAGACCTTAGGATCAAGATTCTGAGGCCAGGACTCCTGGAAAGCTTCCTTTGGCATTTTCACTTCCTGTCTGAAGGATCCTGTGGGGGCCAGTGTAGGGCTCTTGTGTCCATTCACTTTGGGTGGTTGACCCCCCCTCACCTGGACAATCATCAGAGAGATGCTGTGGTGGTGCAACAACTGCCTCTCACCTTCCAGCCCGCCAGTGTGCAGACTTGACCTTGGCAGAGGCCTGGGCCTCTAGAACCCTGCAGTTTGACCCTCAGAGCCTCAGCGCTTGTGTCCAAAGGCCCACTTTAGGCAACAGTGGCATAATTAATTGTTATTTTTCAGTAATGAGGAAAGCAGTTTTATCATTTGAAACAAGGTGGGGAGGAAGAAAGCCCAAATAGAACAAACACTCCTGCCTTACTAGGTTTTTCTTAAAAAGAACAGCAACATTGGAGAATAATGACCACTATGAAAATAGGGTCAAAACTTAATTTTATGGCCAAGAGGTTTTATTTTTTCCCCAAAATCTATAGATACAGTTTACACTGTTACTGTTAAATGCTTTTGAGTACCGTTAGTCTATAAACATTTGCACTTTAAAGTAGTTTTGTATTGTTTTTTTAAAAAACTTGTTCTGTTATACCATTTCTTCAAAAATTTGTGTAAAAACTGCTAAAGGACTATAAAAAATAAAAAATCCCATGGGATTTCTGCTTCAGTGGTTTATATGCTGTGGCATTTTATTAAATATTTATTTAGGTGGACTCTCTTTCCTTTTCTCTTTTTCTTCCCCTCTCTGCATCAGACCTGCTTATTCTTTCAATTTCATGGCATATGCTGGGTACTTTGGACATGTTATCAGGAGAGACCATTCCCTGGAAAAGGATATCATGCTTAATAAAGTAGAGGGGTGATGAAAAAGAGGAAGCCCCTCAACAAGATGGTTTGACATGGTGGCTGCAGCGATGGGCTCAAACAGCAACGATTGTAAGGATGGTGCAGGACTGGGCAGTATTTCATTCTGTTGTACACAGGGTCACCACGAGTCAGAACTGATTCAGTGGCCCCTAACAATGAAAACATGGTGGGTAATACAGCTATTTAGTGATAGTCATCCCACTTAAAGTACTTTCAAAGGGGAGTGGAGGATGGACTTACTTCACTGAATTAAAAGCCATTGCAGGCATTGATGGCTCCAGATCCAGGAACTCAAGTGGCATCATTAGGAATCTCTTCATCTCTCAGTACTGTTTGCAGTGGTGTGAGCTGCTTTTCCAGGCAGGCCTTTCCCACATGGAGGTCCCAGAATCAGCTTTAAAGTTAGCACACCTACTGGCTAAGAAAGATGGCCTTTTCCAGTAAAAAATTAAAAAAAAAACTCACTGCCATTGTGTTGGATTGGGTTCTCTAGAGAAACACAAAAACCAGCAAAGTATATATATA